CCATGGAAACACCAGCGTGACTTCTGGCTGTGTAGTGTGGAAAACAAAGGGAGACCCAACAAGAGGTACGTTTACCTTCTATGTGTCTGCGCTGCTCGAGCGCAGACAAGAGATCATGCAGGCTGGGTGCAGTTATGCGGTTGCGCCAGGCGTGGGTGCCAAGTCGTGTAGGCCAGGCGCGGGCATTCGACTGTCCCAGTTCAGCCTCGTGACAAAGGGTTAATGAATAAAAAAATTGACACCTATTTTAATATTGCATAGAAGTCCAATATATCATGAGGTGCTATTTCTAGGGATAGAGGTGTAGTACAATTATGTGGGAGGAGTCGGCTCTGCACCATCTCAAAACTTCCCCAGCTGCTACTGATAATGCTGAAAAACAAAAATAAATTGAAAACGCTGAGTGTAAATAATCAACTCGATAAATATGTACGCCAGCAGAATGAAATACTAATACAGTCATATTAGAAGTTAAAATACCTTAAAAAATACTTCCATGGTTCTTAAAACCCACACAAAATTTCCATATTTGAAATTAATAATTATATATGCATGCTTATAAATTAAAAATTCTCCCTAAGCTTAGCAGCCAACACACACAATCAAAGGAGTGACATTTGGCTGTTCCAAAGTATAAAGTACTCTCTTTGCTAAAGTAATCTATTCTAATTATATTCTTTATGCATGTGCTACAATAAGAAAGTCTATTCATGCAACATTTCTTCTAACTTTCTTTTAATGAATGATTCAGGATATAGCTATGCATACTGTAAATAATTCTATTTGTATCTCACTGTTAAAGAAAAATAAATTAGTCAACTAACATCCCATTACTTTCCAGTCATTTATCACAGTAGCAAGATTTAATTCACTTTCCATTGTTTAAAATATATACTGATATAGTTAATGTATTCATTCGGTCTAGCAATTAAATTTATGGATACTGACATTTTCCACTAGAAAATCACAGCTGCAAAACTTGCTCTAAACTGTCTTAAAGCATTTCACAATACCAACCATCAAGAACTGATTTTTGTTCTCTTTTTTTAATGGTAGGAAAAATGGTAGGAAAATATGACATAGGATGCAAAGTTCTCAATGGGTATAATACAGTGACGTTTTGACTCAAGCTAGAGCCTTTATCAAGCTTGAGTCTTAAGCAAAAATGTCACTGCTTATTAACCTTTGTAAACAAAGTATCCAATTGTATTTTCCTACCATGTCTATGAGCCAGACGCTCTGACTGTGGAGCACCAAAGTTTTGCATTGAAGATTATTCTGATGTTTACAGATTAAATATTTACATATAACTATATTACATATATCTATATTTTTTTTTATCATTATTATTACTGGTATTTATATAGAACCAGCATATTCCGTAGCACTTTACAATATTACAGCCAGGGCTGGTGCAAGGATTTTTGCTGCCCAGGCAAAAGAAACATTTGCCGCCTCCTCCCCCCGATGTGACATCACAATGCCCCACCCATATGATCTGCCATATGAACTAACTCCAGTGCTGCACACAGTGTGTGTTTACATTAAAAAGCCTGCAGGGACAGGTTATAGACACCAGAACCACTTCATTAAGCTGCAGTGTTTCTGGGGACTGTAGTGTCCCTTTAATGTGAGGTAAATTAGCGATTAGTGTCACTAATAATATACTAGATTGCCTACTCACAACCAGATGAGGATGATGATGGGCTCTGGCTGCAGTTTGGCTCCACTGGTCTGGTGTAGAACAGGATCTCTGGAGGCTGTTTGTAACTGTGGTCACAAAATTCAATGTTCTGGGAGAACAGGAAGCAGCTCCATTTTTGGGGCCCCTTACACAGCTCAAGGTCTGGGCCCCAGGGTCCGACAGTGCATATGCCCATCAGGCCCACCCATAAGTCCACCCACGTGTTCCACCCGTGAGTTTTCTCACAGCTAGTGGAGTGTGTAGGGGATGTGTTATGTGTTATTGTAGAGGATCTAATGTGGGTGCTTATGGAATGTAGTGTATAGGGATACCAGTTTGTGTAGGTGATGCAGTGTGTTTGTGTGTAGTGGAAGCAGTATGTTTTGTGTTAGGGATGGAAAGCCTTGTGTGTTTCTGTGTATGTATAGGGATGCATTGTGTGTGTGTGTGCGTAGTGTGAAAGAGCTCACTGTCCTGCCCCCTGTCCTATAGAGCTCTCCCTTCCGTCCCTTAGAGCTCTCCCCTGCCCCTTAGTGGTCTCTCCTCCCCTGTTCCTTAGTGGTCTCTACTCTCCTCTGACCTCCTCCCTTTGTGGTCTCTCCTTTTCTCCCCGACTTTCCATTATTGGTCGCTCGTCTCCCCCTTAGTGGTCTCTGCTCTGCCCCCGCTTTCCATTAGTGGTCTCTTCTCCCCCCCTCCTTTCCATTAGTGGTCTCTCCTCCCTTCCCCAACCCTTAGTGGTCTTTCCTCTCCCCCCTCCCTCTTTTATTGGTCTCTTTTCACCCCCCTTTCCATTAGTGGTCTCTCCCCCCCTATTGGTCTCTCATCCACCCCCTCCCTCCCTTAGTGGTCTCTCCTCTTCCTCCCCTATTGGTCTCTCCACTCCCTCCCCTCCCTCCCTTAGTGGTCTTTCCTCCACCCGCCTTCCCCCCTTAGTGGTTGTAGGGGATAAGATGGATATTTTGCCGGAGCTACACTCTCTTCATAAGACAGGATCCTGGGAATCAGTCAAGAAGACAAGAGATGTGTTCTATAACCAATTCAAATTTTAATTGATACATCAGTTATACTTATACCCCATTTTCATGTCGGTGGGGGTCATTGAGCATTGTGACATAGTTTATTTTTCACAAGTTGTTTTCAGTTATAATTCGATGTTACATAATGTATGCATATTGGATAAAACCCAGATGATTACAAATACAGAAATCTTGGACAATACACAAGGACATTCTAGAATCCATGTCATGTCATGTCATGTCATGTCATATCTTTTTCCAGGAACATAACAAAATCATGTTTCAATAACATTTCTGAGAATTGGAGATACAATTCCAAATTTATTCTTGATTCAAATTAACCCTTACATGAACAGTTAGGATATAGAGCAAAATGGATATTCATATCCTACAATTCCTCTCTTTAGATCATATCGTGATCTACCTTATGGAATATCCATGGGAGGCCTGCGGCAGAGAAACGAAAGGAGGTATATTCAGACGTGCTAATCACGTCTGTGGGACTTTCCTTATTTCTTCACCTCGATTTCCCCCATTTGCTCTATGCCATAGGTTTTCCCATTAAGAGGAGATCGAGCTGTCGATTTTCAGCTTTTGTAATCATCTGTTGTACACGTTTCTTAAGTGTGCAAGTTAGATAACAATTAAACAATATCATTATTGCAAGTATTATCACAATGATGACCAGAGGGTAGAAAAAGGACCTTACAACTTGTGTGCCAGTAGGGGACCAACCTGTGAGGGCATCATACCAATGATGAGCAAAATTTTCCTGGATTTTAGAACTAACTTTAATTAATTCCCTTTCAACTATGTGGGTGGATATTTCAGTATGTACTAAGGCATCTTTATGTGCTTTCAAATGTTTAAACATATCTCCTTTTCCTCTTAGTAAATTAATTATTATTCCTGTAGGAAGTTGATAATCAACGATAGGTAACGCAGGTGGAATATATTTTTTGGATCTGTATATACTAGGAATAGGTTGCAGGAAATAAGTATGATCTTTCCATTTTATCCAGGTTGCATTTGATATACATCCTACAAAGGGTAAATGTTTATCAACTTCGGGAATATTGACAGGTTGTTTGGTAGCTAGGCACACTATTTGTGGTTCTATTTCTAACATAACTGAATAATCTGATGGATATACATGCCAAGTACAAATACTTATTTGATTAGCTAATAAGCATGGTTCATAGATGGGTGAGGAATGTCTGCATGTGTAACCGTTATCTGCCTTGTCACAGTGTTCTAATGAATATGTTTTATTATCCTTGGGGAATACTCCTACCCAAGGAGACCATATAAAATCTTAAAAAGAGAAAATCCCCTTTCAATAAAAATGTAGCTATGCAATGTATGAAGGATGGAAAAAGAAAAGTAAAAGAACAGAGGTGAAAAAGACACCCAATCCTCTTACCTGATCTTTTTCGTTCCGTTCAAATGCACCCCAAAACTTCTGACACCAATTTGTAGGGGATAAGATGGATATTTTGCCGGAGCTACACTCTCTTCATAAGACAGGATCCTGGGAATCAGTCAAGAAGACAAGAGATGTGTTCTATAACCAATTCAAATTTTTATTGATACATCAGTTATACTTATACCCCATTTTCATGTCGGTGGGGGTCATTGAGCATTGTGACATAGTTTATTTTTCACAAGTTGTTTTCAGTTATAATACGATGTTACATAATGTATGCATATTGGATAAAACCCAGATGATTACAAATACAGAAATCTTGGACAATACACAAGGACATTCCAGAATCCATGTCATGTCATGTCATGTCAATATCTTTTTCCAGGAACATAACAAAATCATGTTTCAATAACATTTCTGAGAATTGGAGATACAATTCCAAATGTATTCTTGATTCAAATTAACCCTTACATGAACAGTTAGGATATAGAGCAAAATGGATATTCATATCCTACAGTGGTCTCCCCACCCCATGTCCTCCTCACCCTCTCACGTTCTTCTCACGCACCCCCTCTATCCCTTAGTGGACTCTCCCCTCCACCCCCCTTTCTCCTCACCCTCCCTCCCACGTTCTCCTCACCCCCCCTCCCATAGTAGACTCTTCCCCCCGCACATCCTCCTCACTCCCCCCTCCCTGTGTTCTCCTCACCCCCCCCGTGTTCCTCTCAACCCTCCTCTCCTCACCCCCTTCCTTGTGTTTTTCTCATCTCCTCTTCTCCTCACCTCCCCTTCCCTGTGTAGTGTGGCCGAGCTCCTCTTCGGTCAGCGGTATAGGAGCTTTTGTTTACTGTGCATACTGAATGAGCCCTTCCTATCAGTCTGGCCGGGTACAGGAAACGGATGCAAATGGATGTGGCTGCAGCATTAGGGCCGGCGATGAGGGCGCAGGGTGCCCCCTCCTATGCCTAGGTCGCCTTATAGGAAGCGCCGGCCCTGATTACAGCCAAACCTATGAAAAGTCATGTGCACGCACCTTGAGAACCAATAGCCTGTAAGCTCTTCACTCTGGCTACTGTGAAACTTGCAAAACATGCAATGCCCTGTGGATCTTATTATTAATATTATTGTTGTTTTACTCCATACTCAGAGAGTGAGAGCTTAATTTAATTATATGTTTCTGCCAGACACAGTGGGGCGGGGGGGCACACAATTAGATATCGCTTAACCTAACCCCCAAACCTTCAAAGTATTCATTATTACAGAGTCAGAGTGTTGGATGTCCTCCTACCACTGTGCCAAGCTATAGATATAATGAATGGTGTAATTTTATTTTATCATTGATTGTTTCCGTTCCAAAAGATCTTATTTTAAGGTTACTTGGGTTAACACTTTATCCCCTATGAGACACCATATGTTACTGTTTTGTGTTCTATTTGTTCTATATTTTACATTGTTCTGTTTATTGCAAGGGCTTTTTTGAGAAGTTCAGGCTTCAGTGTGCAAGAGGAGCATACACTCAATCAATATTTTGTGATGGCATCCTTATATGACTCTGGCCATTATTTATTTTTTAAAGATCTTGTAGCATTTTTCCCAATAACATTGGTCTATATAAATTTACCTAACAAAAACCAATGTTGCTCATTTAAATGCAGAGTATAAACTGTTCAACAATAGGTGGAAGGGGCGTTACAATTGGGAGGAGATTTTAAACTATCATTAGATACCCAGAAGGAAAGTACAGTAATCAGTCCCTCCCACCTTACCTTTGCTCACATTCTGATGAGATATCTGCTCCATAGCAACCAATTGCTGGATTTCTGGAATATTCACCATCAATCCATCAAAGACTACACTTTCTTCTCTAACCCCTTTGACACATCCACTAGAAATGATGTTTTTGATCCCCCACAGGTTCCTACATCTTGTTTCCTCAGCAGACAAAGTATTATGTGGTCTGATCACTACCACATCTCAATCCGATCCTCTATTCCTACAGTACAGACTAAGACCTGTCAATGGAAACTTAACTCCATCCTCACATGGGATAACCAGGTGAAAGACACCATCTTTGCCAAAATTCGACAATACTTTCAATATAACAATTAAACAGATATTTCACATTTTGTAGAGGAGGATGACCATAAATGTATTATTACAACCCTTTACAATGGATAAATTAACTAATGTTATAAAATCCATCCCTCAGAATAATAGAACAGACTATATAGGCTATATGGTTTTCTACTATCGAATTATTTTGAAAGCTAGGAAGCCAATATCTCCAAAAGCTGGAGAAAGATCCCAAGGCTTGTAGTATCAACCTTTATCATTGATCAATGTGGACATGACATTGTGACAGATCCATCTGTGTAAAGACTAATTGCTGGTTCGTCTGTTTCATTTATGTTCGTGGAATTACCTGCCCGTGCGTCCCTGTTCGTTTATTGCAAATTATACCGAACAAAACTACCGAACGGACGGCCACCCAGAAGAGAAGTGTGCTGCTGGTTAACCTCTTGGCCCCAATTAGAACGTTGTGGTTAACCGCAGACACCTCTTCATTCTAACCGTATGCAGGGTGGTCGTCGTTCGTATGCCGACCACGAGGCGGCGGCCATTTAAACCACGCGAATGAACAGCGATGTTCGACAAAGAACTTATGGAACTCTAAACTGACACTTTTTCCTACCAACCACCCTTCTTATCATCGGGCATACGAACGCTGGTCCGTTCCCGACTTTGGATCATACGAATGGACTTAACCCAGATAGCCATCCCATGGAGTCAATCGTATACCGAAAGGACAGTAATTCATTAGTAATGTGCACTCAGTTCCAGGCTATCTGAGCATATGTTACACGAATCAAATGTATTCGGTATTTTTATAGTTATGTATTGTAGCGGAGATGCAATATTCCCCAGGATATCTCCGCTTATAGTCCAAGTGAGGCTCAGGAACAAGTAAATAATAAATCCACAGGCAAGGTTTCCAGCAGGTAAAATAACAGCAATATCCCCACAGCAATCCCAATAACTGGACGACACACAGTTTCAGGAGCAGAACTGAAAGCTTTAATCCACAGTCTCCTTTTAAAGCATGCTCCCATGCAAGGGAGGGATTTACACTCATTATTACAGTAGCCAATCCTGTCCTGGTAACCTCCCACACATCTTCTCCCCTCAGCCAGCATCATAATCCCCTTATCCAGTACAGTAATTCCCACCGTTTCTGGATGTACCCCTAAACATAGGGGTACCTCTTTAAATCCTACATCCCCGAATACCCCTGATCTGGGTGAACAACATATCCAAAAATCACCCAGATCAGAACAGGGGTTCGGGAAATGTATGGAGGGAATAAAATGACCGACCGCACTAACTGAGATAGCCGAATAAGGTTCCATGCGAATGGGCCCTGCGGTCGGTCCTGGCATAAGGGAATAAAATACACGAAAGCCTCTAGCTATAGAGGCTAGGGAGGGTTCGCCTGAATCCCCTCATTCGGTTCTTTCTATCTACCGAACGAGGGGCCGTTCGGTAGTTTGGAACCGAACGGACCGGGTTTGTGGAGGTCTCAGCGGTGTTCACCTACTCGAGTGTCCGATTTGAGTTCCAGACGCTCGACGGCAAAACACCGCTGTTCGGGAGTTTTAAAATGGCCGCCGCCACGTGTTCGTTTGTCGAATGGCGGCCACCCCCGAGAACAAAGGACGGCTACTTACTAGGCAATTACCCGTTCGCAACAATGTTGCAACGGGTAATTGAGGACACACTTCACACAGGGGGGGTCTGGTTGTTCGGTAGTTTCATTCGAATGAACTAAGGGAATAACACTACCGAACAATCAGAGGAATACAGTTCTTTTAAACACATAGAAAACCAGCAGATCACACGAATGCAGTTATTCACAAGCCATTTGCAGGACAGCCCAGTGCCATCCGCTACATGTATTTTTATGCATTTTTAATGTATCATGTAAAATGGCGGTTTGCCTCTATCCTTTGAGATAATTGGATTTCTTCCCAATTATCTCCAGGATAGAGAGGAGGGAATTACTTGTGTAAAGGGGAGTGTTTAAACCTGAGCCACTGTGATTGGCTACTGTACGATATATGTCCCAGTCTTCCATCTGGTCCCCTAGGGGAGTGTCCACCAGGTGGGAGACCTGCATAAATACCGGGCAGGTAGCCCTCATTAAAGCAGATTCCTGTTTTACCCTCAAGACGGAGCTTGGTCTCGTGTTTGGGGGGATTGCTACTTGGAAGTATTATTTTGCCTGTTTTAGCTGTGGAAGGAGTTCGGCTGATTCTTTGTTCGTGGGTTTATCACATTCCCTTATACTCCGTTCGGGAGTTTGGCGGTCTACTGCAATAGAGCCTGTGTCTCTGAAAGGGGGAAGATTAACTAAACGGCGGTTTCACCCATTTAAGCTGTGAGTGTCTTAACAGACATTATGTACACAAATGTTGGCTATACACCTTCATCCATTACTACAGGGATCTGGCTGGTTTGTCCCATCTCAGGAGGCAAAGGACAACACAATGAAAATAATTAACTTGACTCATTGGGCCAAAAAATCCTTGGTGCCTTACATCTTCTTATCAATTGGTGCAGAGAAGGACTTTGACAAGGTGAACTTGTCCTTTCTTATTTCAACTCTTAACGATATAGGGTTCACACTGATAGATCTAAGCTCTTTAGTCTAGGTGCACTGTGTAGCCCAGAGTGAATGGTGAATTTTCTAGCTCATTTCAAATAAGCAAAAGCAGCAGACAAGGTTACCTACTCTCACCATTGCTATTTATTTTGGCGCTTAAAACATTTTATCTGGCAGTTATGCACAATCTGGGGATTAAGGTTATGAGTATGCCATCTAAGGAATTTAAAGTCACAGCTTTTGATGATGACTTTCTCTTTACCCTGGTGCATCCTTCATCCTCTTTACCCCCATTCATGGACAAATGATTACTTATAGTTCAAAGTCCAATTTAAAGACCACAGAAAAGATTATATGCCGGCACACTACTGATAAGAGGTGCTGGTATTGAGGCTACCCACTGTAAAAAACCTCCAACTTCAAATGCCAAAATATAAGAAATGATACCACACTCACAAATGCTTAAGTTACAAAAAATGCAAAACATGAAAAAAAATCTTTATTCAAAAATATATTGCCACAAGGTTGGATAAACGTGCTTATTGTCAGAGTCAGAAATATCAAATTTTGTTCTAACAAATCACTTAGACAAAAGTTCAGATGTCTGTTATGCTTCCACCATCACCCAGTGAATAACAAATGACAAAAACATATATAAAATCAAAGTTGTCACCTCTATGTACAATGATAATAACATTCAGCAGATACACAGACTAATGCTTATCCTGATGGACATGCCTGGAAAAAAAGGAAAAATGCTTCATACTTACCAATATTTTCCTTTCCTGGTAATGGGCCATGGCAGCACTACTCCAGGGTTAACTCCCCCCATCACTCCTATGGCACAGGACTAAATTTTAGCCTAAAAAAAGCCATATGAACCATAATACCCAAATTTGTAACAAGCCAACGATCAGGGACGATGCCTAGTGCTGCCATGGCACATTACCGGGAAAATAAAATATTAGTAAGTATGAAGCATTTTTCCTTTTTTCCAGCATTACTCAAGGGCAATGCCTGCACTACGAAACTCCAGGAGGGGGAGGGGGGATGAAACACAGAACACCATATGATGCTAAAATTAAGTAACATCCATAGGTTCAAGAAGCTGATAAAACTGCAGAACCAAACTGAGCCTTTTTAGAGGATCTCACATCCAGTCGATAATGCTGGATAAAGGTACTATGAGATAACCATTTAGCTGCTCTGCAGATCTGATCATAAGAGACTTGTGCAACAGTTGCCCAGGAAATGCATGGAGCTTGGGTGGAATGGAATTTTATACCTCAAGGAACCATAACCAGCCACCTAGAGAAGATTTTAGGAGATGCTTGCAGTCCCTTATCATGTCCTCCAGGAAGGATGAAAAGCCCTGAGGATCTTCTCCAGATGCCAGTTCTGTGACAGTAGACCAATAGACAGCGAACCATATCCAGGGTGTGAAACATTTGTTCCTCCTCAGAAGTAGAAGATGGGAAGAAAGCAGGCAAGCTGATCTCTTGGTCCATATGAAATGATGAACCCACTTTAGGCCTGAACTCTGGAACTGCTCTCATAATCACCTTATCCTGTTGGAACAAGATGAAAGGTTTGTCTGATGAGAGAACTGCCAGACCCTTCTTCCTGATGTCAAGGCAACCCTTCAGATATATCTTAAGAGTAAGGACCATAGCTGTATTCTCTGTTATAGGTTCAAATGGGAAAGCCTGAAAGGCCAACAGGACAAGTGGCAAATCCCAAGAAAGAAAAATGGACTTCATAGGAGGTCTAATCTGCATGACAGCCTTCATAAAACAAGCCACATCAGAGTTGAGCACCTATCTCACTCCAGATAAAGCTGAAAAGGCTGAGATGTGGACCTTCAGAGTTTGTAGGCTACGACCCTTGTCCAGGCTGTCTTGCAGAAAACCCAGCAGAGTCACAGCAGTGAAAGAGCGTGGGAAAATACCTTTGTTAGATGCCCAGTCAGAGAAGATGCCCCAGGTAATAGGTAGCAAAAATATTCATTTTCCTAGCCTGAAGCATAGTTGAAATGACCACATCTGTGAAACCCTTCTCCTTTAATTGCCTCCTTTCAGTCTCCATGCCATCAGCTGGAGGGTTTATGGAGCAGGATAGAATAGAGAACCCAGAGACAGCAGGTCATCTCTCACTGGCAGATGAATGGGCTCTCCATTGAAAGGCTCAACAACAGTGGGAACCAGGGTCTCTGTGGCCAATGCAGGAGAATTGCTATCACCACCACTCGTTCTTTCTGAATCCTTCTCAGGAGGTTGAAGATAAACGGAATCATGGAATCACATACCCTTTTTGGAAATTCCAGGAACAGCCTAGGGCATCCCAACCTTCCATAATGGATTGATGCTCACTGGTGAAGAACCTCTGAACCTGTCTTTTCTGAAAGTTGGACATCATGTTGATCTCCTGAAGACCCCATCTGTGAACCAACATCTAAAAGGCCCATTTTGCTAGACACCATTCTCCTGGCAAGATTTAATGTCTGCTCAAGAAATCCACCCATATGTCTATAAAACCTGGAAGATATATCATACTTGGCCCTTAGAAGATGTTTTTGGGGTGCCCATTTCATAAGGGGAATCATGATTTGCCTTTGAGAGCCACCATCTGAAAGCTTCCTTTACTATAGGTGTCAGAAAAATGGTCTAGTTAAAATCTGGAATCTTGTACTGGGGCAGGAAGTATATTTGATGGATCCAGATATGCCATTGAGCCCATCTGGTAAGGCTTATAGTGGATGACCGGTACCCCAGGATGCTCATGTAATATCTGGCTCTGATCATTTGTAGACAAAGTGTTCTCCTCAACTTTTCTCTTAACCTATACCTTCTGTCTTCTGATAGATGTACCAACACTAGATTTATATTGAACAAGTCTCCCAGATAGACCATTTGACTCAGTTGGAGTTGACTCTTCTGGAAAATCAGAACCCAACCATGATTCTCCAAGATCGATCAAGAAAAATGTTGAAACATAGTTGGCAAATGTTTCCTGAATTGTGCCTGAAAGCAAGATCGATCAAGAAAAATGTTAAAACATAGTTGGCAAATTTCTCTTGAATAGTGCCTGAAAGCAACCAAAATTGAACCGAAGTCTGACCTATATACATATATTTATTTTCTGCAATACTTTTTACGAGTCATAAATAAAAAAAAGTATGGTTAATAGTCCCAGTTTAATAATCTGGGGAAAGAGTTCTGACCATGATTTCAATTGTATACCATTTTGGATAACATTCTATCCAAACCATGAAACCATGAAACAACTCCTGCCTTGAAAAAATCCTAGTAACTAATGCAAAAGACATATTAAACTTTTTATATATATATTAATCTAGTTTGTTCTTAGCTATTCTTTGGACAGTTTCAACAATAAGCACAAATAATAGGTGTACTTTTTCTCCTATACCTTTCTGTAGACTTGTGGATTGTTTTAAACGAATTATGATTCATCCAAATTTGGAGCAAGCAGAATATTGTCCAAAATGCCATATGAATATATCATGAAAGAAACAAAACAGGCAATGGATGAGCCATATCATGATTCAGAATTCTGTCCTTGGTAGAAAAAAAAAAAAAAAAGATTGATGGAAAAAAAAATTATTGATGGTAGGTGAGAGCCACTAAATGTTGATTTTATTCATAGATCAAATGAGAAGAGACCAAGAAAGGGAAAAAGGAGCAGTAAAAAAAAATCTGCAATCATATGTTTATATATTTTGCATTATACTAATCGGTGCGGTTCTCAACATTTCTGCTTGTCCAAATTGTTTTTCCCAAAACAATTGCATGTCAAAATCCATGGAACCTGTCAGAATATTTATATCAGCAGACATTTTGTGCTAAGAAGGAAATTAAAAGTGTATATTGCAGAGTCACTCAGAACAGAGCGGACTCCATTTTGCTATCTTCAGGATAGCAAAGACATAGTTTCTTCTTACTTTCTGTAACTAACCACTGAGCTAAAGGAATGCATTATATAAACACAGACACTAGTGACAGAGAAGACTAAGTAATTAATTTTACTTTCTAAATTTTACAAGGTTCCATTATAAGTAAGAGGTGAAATTGAGTTTAGAACTATCAATTTTAGAAATTACAATCAAAGTAGTTGCCACAAAGACTGAGACAAACGCTTTGCACAGACAGCAAATTTAAGTTATGGTCATTTTAGATAAGTCAAATGACGTCAAAATCATCATCAGGAAAAGTTAACTCTTTCCTGGATAGGAAGGTTTAGTTAGGCAAGACGGCCCTCTATGGATCAAATACCTAAATTGCGATCCATAGATTGAACACACCTTCAGCTTCCTATTGGCCGTATCAACTAATGACGTACAGAGAGTCTGGCCCTTTAAAAGTTAGGACAAAGGGAAGAGAGAGGTTAGTTGGTAGAGAGACGAGTTGGTAGAGAGGGAGTTGAAGTTTGGGGATTCCGATTCGGACATGCAGAGAGATCCAGGACATTTTCTGGGACTAACACTCTACTCTTAAACTCTCTTGGACACTCAACTCTTAAACTCTTTAACACTTAGAATTTTACTCTGACTTTCTAACCAACACCACTTTTCTCTATCACTCACGCACCTCCATACAACCAATCAAGTTCCTGGGACTACCTACTCATCTGATGAGAATATCTACATAACTGGTAATTATGCTGGTTTTATTTAATTAATTTAAATTAATTAAAATTTACTAATAGCATGATACATGACTGGATAATTCACGGTCAGATTTCAATATTTAAAAATCTTAGTAAACTAAAGAATATATAGTTATAAACATTCCATTCTGCAGGTGGAATTAAGAATAATTATATATTAATGTGATATATCCAGGTGTATTGATTTGCTCTAAAATAAGATAAGATATCTTTTTAGGCAAATTAAAATTCGGCTTTTGTAAAAATCTGGTAGATTGTTCTTATTGGATGGTTCCAGGAAATGACTAATGAGCTGGTTTGAATGTTATTTTAATTGAAAATCACAGGAGAATAGGATACTATATGCCTAGGAGGATCTAGCCCCCATTGAAAGGGTTACTCAGTTGATTTAACTGTTAGCCAAAGTTTTATGGCTTTTGCTGTGTGAAGCTTTACTTTTTGTCTATAAAGTACCCTCATAAATCTTAAGTGACAGATGATGCTGTTAGCCATTGGAACGTGTATAGCCATTCCATTGTATTGTATACTTATGTTATACTAAATATTCACTGATTAATATCATGCATGCTGCCTAATATTATTTGTTATTTAATTTGTAAAAATAAATTAAATCTATTTTTATAACACATTGTGATTTTTAATTGTATGGAATACATTTCACTTACATGATAATGATCTCTAAGATCTAAGAGAATTGAAATAGTGGGCAATTCTCGACTATTTAATATTATCATCCCATAAATTTCCCCACAAACCGAAATGCCCCATTGCCAAAAAGTCTGTCCAAACCAAAAAAACAATTCCGGTTGAATTCATTTGCACAAACCATTTTTTTTTTTTTTGCACAAGTCTACCTTTCTCTTTATTACTTTAGTAGTCTTCTATTTCAAAGTTAATATTTTTACCAACATAAAAATTACCAACATTATTATTTAAAAAGTGTGTTTTACTTTTAGGGTAATTGTCTTAAGGTCTGAAGGTCATTGTCTTAATTTCTTAATCCTCTACCTCAGAAATCAGAAGAATTGTATCCACCTGGTGGAAGTCTGATATTTATTATGGCACATATACACAAAAAAATATAATTCATATGAATATGACAGGGAAATCAGAAGGCTACCTGCATGGCCAGGGCAGGGCACAACGTTGTTGTTTTTTTCTTAAATTAAGAAATACACAGGTTGAATTACAGAGCTCTATAAAAAATTAGATTATATAAAGGTCACAAAGATATCTTTGTGGTGTGTACATCTATTACATTGTATATTTATTGCATAAGCCTATCTGTAATAATGACTGTGTAAATACCAAGGAAAAACAAGATCTATGAAAAATATATTGATACAAATGTTAAAAAAAACAACATTGGTTGGACATTGTACACCCACTTACCTGTATCAGTTGCACCAAGATTTCCATTTCTTGTTAATTATTTTTTGTTGGTTGTGGGTTATATGTACTTTAGTGAGAAAATGTAATTTTTATCATTTAATGATGGTCATGGATTTAAATGCAAAATATCATATAAATGTTTCAATATTCATATATTTATTTTTGTAGTGTGATTATAGAAGTAGCAATCAAAGCTTCTGAACCATTCTAATACAGTCCTTATGGACCAGAACAACAGTAACATGTGCAAGTGCTCTCGTCACCCGAATTAGTGAAGAATGAAGGTGATTGGTAGTTAGATCATACCATGCCACTCACGTTCTCTAGCACACCATATCACACAATAACCAACTGAAGTGTCGCATTTCTGTCCTTAACTGACATTTTAAAAGCAAGTGGCAGGTAAGAGGTGCTTTCAATTTTCCATGCAAGAGCACATCTACCACTTCTTAGTTCAAGATGTTGTCCATGTTTATTTGTTATTATCCACCCACGGTAATATAGGAATTTGAAGACTATATAGAATTTTTTATTGGACTAAATAAATATGCTACAAACACAAAAGTGCAATTTTAAGGAAATGCAATGCTTTATAAAATTAACAGAAATTTAAAGTTTTGCATAAGTTACCAGACCAGCAAGTAACCAAAAATACTTTAAATAATACAAATCACAAAACAAATTAA